AGAGAGAGAGAGAGAGAAGAGAGAGAGACGAGAGAGAGAGAGAGAGAGAGAGAGAGAGAGAGAGAGAAGAGAGAGGGAGAGAAGCGCGCGCGCGAGAGAGAGAGAGAGGATCGAGACATTAGTCAAGCAAGGCTAGGCCGTATATAGAGAGAGGGGAGCGAAGACTTAAGGCGGCGCGGGGCCATGGTGTGCATGACTGACTTTATTAAAACCTGACGCCAGTGTGGCAAAACGTGGTTATAGCGCGCGCGTGTAGTGTGGTGACATGGCGGCGGTGTTACATCGCAGTGTGGTATGATGAAGCGGACCTCACGCCGCTGAGCTACTCAAGGGCGTTAAGAGACAGGGAGAGAGAAAGATAGACAGCGAGAGAGAGGGAGAGAGAGAAAGAGAGAGAGAGAGAGAAAGAGGGGGGGGAGAGAGAGAGAAAGAGNGTGTGTGTGTGTGTGTGTGTGTGTGTGTGTGTGTGTGTGTGTGTGTGTGTGTGTGTGTGTGTGTGTGTGTGTGTGTGTGTGTGTGTGTGTGAGGCCCCCCGCGTTTACGCGAAATTGTTTTTATTTTTAAATGGGTTGTTTTAGGGGGAGATGCCGAAAGAGGTCTAAATCCCAGGTTTCTAACACGTCTGCCCCTCATTTCTTGACATTCCAATAGATTTCGGCCCGAATCGGCACACCGCATTTGATATAAAACCGCCCCCGACACTCCACCGCCCCACCGCCCCCACCGCCCCCGTCCCCCCCGCCGCCCCCTGCCGCCCCCGCCGCCCCCTCCGCCCCCCGCTACCGCTCGATCGATGGAAATCGGGCACAATCTTGCCAGCTTCATCCAAATCTCTTGTTATCCCCTCATGTTGGGCCACCAAGCATCTCTCCACCACCGTCGCCGCTCCGCCGCTCCGCCGCTCCGCCGCGCCTCGCCCAATTAATGTATAATGTATTAAATTTAATATGCAGTGCGATACGGGGCCGTACATGACGTCATCGGGACCGGGGCACCCCCTCCCCACTTCCACCCACCCTCCGCCACCCCCTCCCGCGCCAGCTAATCCCGACAAATAACCTCTCGGGTCTTTTCGATTGCTGCGAATTTGTACAGATATGATCGCGCACACGCACGACGGACGCGGCGGCGGCGATGGTGGCGATGGTGGAAATTTATTCATGTATTGGCGTTTGCTTGTGTAAGCGTATTAGGCCGGCCGTGCGGTTGGAGTATCGTCGGCACAAAGGCCAACGACTTGTTTAGCGCGCGCGCCCCGGCAGTTCATCAGTGCTTCTGCTGAATGGTGGCGGTAGTGGGGGGAAGGGGGGGGGGAGGGAGGAACAATCGTCTCAAAGCCGCCACGGCCCCCCTCCCGCGTGCGTGTGTGTCTTGTTAACCCATTGTTGTTGTTGTTGTTGTGGTGGTGGTGGTGGTGGTGGTGTTATCGTTGTTGTTGTTGTTGGTGGTGGTGTTTTTGTTGTTATTGTTGTTGTTGGGTTAGTTGTCGTTGAGGGTCTTGTTGTTGTTGCTGGTGTTGTTGATAATGATGATGTTGTTGGTGTTGTTGTTGCTACTGCTGCTGCTGTCATCGTCGTCGTCGTCGTCGTCGTCG